TGCTGTCGCTGACTGGTGGGCTGTTCACGGAGTACCATGCGGACAAGCAGTCTGTTGAATTCCCAAGGCATTGCAATAGTAGAAGGTTAACCTATGCTAAAACCACTTATCTGCTTTTTCTTCTTCACCACAGTCAATTACTTCCAAGCAGCTGAAGGAGTAAGCAATCCAATCACTAGGAAAAAAAGGGCCAAATAACACTTTTGCGAACGCACATAAAACACATTTCATCAAAGTTCTGCACGCTAAGAACACAAAAACAACACAAACCCGTAAACTTTGTACACGTTTGAACACGTGTTATTTGGCACTTTTTTTCCTAGTGAATTGGATCCTTGCAAGGATTACTTGGTTTTCAGTTGCTGAGAAAAGCTACAAGATAAGATTTGTTACATCGAGAAACAGGTCATACACGGGCCATTCCCCCCCTCCTGAGCAGGTGTTTTTGGGATTCTTTTCCATACTAGGATAAGATGATGTAGAGTCTCCGAGTGCGTCAGGTTGAGCACAGCACACAGGCAACACACCAAAAGCAAACATGCACTCAGGGGGGGAGGGGGGGGGAGCCACAAGAGCCAGGTCACCAGCAAGGAGAGAGCCCCATAGACATCCCGATGTGTCGCTTGTGTGTCTATTACGATTGCTACGGGGTGCTATTTTAGGGGCGCAGTTTGCTTTGCTCTTGACGACCATGTTTTAGAGAGTCAAAAGGCAAAACGATTAATTTGGAAAACAAATACAATGAACTGGATTCAATGGAACCGTGCTGTATGCAGGGTCACTTGGTCTATCGGCTGTCGGATTTGCAGACCAGAAAATGTCGACAAGGACAGGAGGGCTGCACTAGAGAGAAAAGATGGCAACGGGTGCGAACTCGCTAGGAAAAAAGGGCCAAATAACACGTGTTCAAATGTGTACAAAATTTACGGGTTTGTGTTATTTTTTGTGCTCTTAGCGTGCAGAACTTGATGAAATGTGTTTTTGTGTGTGTGTTTGTAAAAGTGTTATTTGACCCTTTTTTCCCTAGTGAACTGGGACAGGTTGTTGTGGACAGTAAGGGGGTGTTGTGCACCAGACACACCTGGCTGCTCGATGGCTATCCACAGCTCATTACCACGAGGCGAAGCGCCCACCGTGCTGGGCTTGTAGCGGCGATAGTCACTGGTGCGTTGAATGTCTGCTAGAGGAGGTCTGTATCATGGCCAGCTCACATAATGGACAAACACATACACTCCCAATCCATGTAAGGCCACAGTGACCTTGCTCTTCACCATCCCTTTCAAACGCAACGCCTATTAACGTACTTTGGAGTTTGACACGATGTGAGCCAAAATACAGTGTTTTGTTTGAGGAACAGTGCTGCAAACTACACACAGTCAAAATTACGAGCTAACAATTCCTGGACTGGGTGAAAGGGAGAAAAACAAGATAAGGATAGATTGTGGGCTCCAGCAGAAGAAGGGCTGATTTGTAGCCATGTAAGAACTCGCCATGGCTGCTTGTTGAATCTAGCGCATGGCTCTCCCTGAAAATGTGCTGTTCAAGTTATCGAATAATGCTAATAATTTAAATAGCCCCTTTTGCATCTGTTCGGATCGCCAATAATGAAACCCATCAGAAAAATAGAAGCTTAATAATACTACACAGTGGGCGACCCATGAGGTCCAGACGTGGGGAAAGGGATTGTCGCCGGCCTCGGAACCTTCACTAATCTGACCATCATTCAACAGGGTGGTGCACAATGAAGCTGAAAGGCCCCAAAATTATCAACCAGGGGTGCGTACATTCAATAAATTAGTGTTGTGAAGGTTGATATACACCTGGATTTGAAAGCAGCAATCGGCTGCAAGTCGATTTCGCAACATGATTATGTCATCCCTATTTCATTGATAGGTGTTTTCAAGAGGCGTTTGCTGAGGAAGCGCGTCAGTAGATGTTGTTTCGGCCACGATTTGGCCGACATGTGTATTTTGTGAACGGGACCCCCGTCGATGGAGTGGGGCTGCCCCCGTCGCGGTCTGCCATGGAACACGATGAGACGGAGGCCGGGTGTGTGTGTGTGTGCGTGTGTGTGTGTGTGTGTGTGTGTGGAGGCGCCACGTGGCTGTGTGATGGGAATATGACCCGCGGGGCATTTTGTGGCTGCTGACCGCAGGAAGAGAGGTGTAACGGATCGAACTGCGGCGAAACGGTGGTGTGACAGATGTACCCCGGGAATCGAAAGATAACTTCCCATGAAGGGGGTATTGTGAAATGTCGGACGCCTTGAGGGGTTATAAATACGGAGGGCGCAAAGAGCGCCGTAGGGGACGATGCATTGTTGACTTCAGCACGGCAGCGGTAAAAACGACGGTGGTTTCTCTGTGCCTCGTGCGGCGGTCTAGGAATGCGGCCTGGCCGCCTGAGTCACCTGGCTGTGAGCGCCACATGCGCCATAGCCTGATCGCAATAGCGCTCGACCTGTTCGAGGGTCGTGGCCATTCTGGGCCGGTTTTGAGCCGTTTTGCTTGCCGCTCACGACCAATGCCTCGAGTGCGGTCTTACTGCCGGCCAAAATTGGCCAATCATCGCTGCATAGCCGTGGCAAGGCGGAAAGAAGCCCTGCTGCGTCATCCGCTGCCACATTGTGGAAATGGCTGTCCTGGCCCGTGGACCTAACCAACGTTTTTGACTTCATCGACTTTTGAGGGGCTTCTGCCATTGACTGTGGAGCTCTGGACGGCAGTTTCAAGCCTTTCTACAAGGGCATTTGCTTGCGTTGGCCGGCGGTTGGTCATCTGCTGCCCGTTTGAGACATTCTTCCGCTGCCATTGCCTTTTGTGGTGACGATCGTCATTGTGACAAGCGGCGTTTGGTGAGGAGCCAGTCCGCGCAAGGGGTGACCTCTTGATCGCTCGATGCATGGAGCTGAGGCTGTCGACGCGGACCAGCTGCCCATGAGTGTGGGAGAGGGTTGTGCGTGGTTCTCATGGCGACCATCCACATGTGGGATGGCTATTGTGCCATCCACGTGGGATTGGATGTTGCGGCCATGGATGTATGACCATCTACGGCTGTTGTGTACCACCAGCCACCATGCATTAGCAGGCGGAGCCCTCACATCGTTTAATCTGCCGCTGCGGTGCACATCCAGAATTCTACTGGCCATTAGGACCGGTGGAGCTCAACACATCACTGTGCTCGAGCGGTGTAAATGCACATTATCATCGATGAATCGACAGGCTGGGATGGCTGGAGCCTGCCATCATGGTAGTTGCGCGCAAGGGGACCAAAGTCAATTATTTTAATGGCACCGTTGATCATGCCGAGTGCAATGATATTTGGCAGTACATAATCTTACATATATGTATGTATCTATCATAATCTTGTATATACATCAATAGCTCAAGAAGATGTGATGGAAAACATAACAACATTAGGAATAGAATTGCATGCTTTCCAAAATCAACAAACAAAGTCGAGGGAAAGTGCTGCCCGAGTTTATGCTCCTCAGGTATCTTTGCAGTTGCAGGTGCGTTGGGAGACCGTTGATAGAAGAGTTATGTGGTTTGGGAGTGAATGCATGTAAATGTGCGAAAGGAAAATGGAAGAACATGTCATGAGAAACAGTTGCAGCCCACGTACTACACGGGACACCACTTTGTTAGCCCTATTGCATTCACAGTTCGACGGTGAGGGGTATGACTATATTGCTGAGTGTCGGGTGACCTGCTGCCTCTTGGGAATCGCTTATCCAATATTGGATTAGGTGCTGTAGGCAACACATTGCGACGCAGAGTCCTACCGGCATGTAGGAACAGCAGAGGGCGACGGAGAATCACCATGATAGTGAGAGTGTTGCGGAAAGCCAGCACCCAGTTAGGTACCATCCTGTCACCGTGGGCTAAAGTATATTACAAGATGCTTTGGTGATTGCGCACGTGGCAATGGCATGGTTCGGCCTACTTCAATTCTAAAATTGGCAACTATGATACATCACACTCGCAATGCGATGCAATGTGATGCCATCACACATATACACAGTCTTCGGGAAACGGATGTCCAATTTGGACAGTCCCAAGCGCGGATAAGCAGGGCAAGGTTTCGCTAGGAGCTGGAGGGGATTGACGAGCCCTGGGCTGTTGTGAACCGAAGGCGAAAGGGGCCAGGGTTTGGCAAGGTACCAGTATTGGTGCCATTACTGTGTTGTACCACACGGCTATTGCAATGCTTCTTCACGAGTGCCAAATACGTTCATCGGCTTCGGAGGAAGAATAAGCAATTTTGGAACTCGGTTTGCGGAGGTGCATGTCAGGGGATCCTCCTTTCTTGGTATGCAGGTCAGCACTGGAAGGGGCGAAGAACAGAGCTCTAGCACAGCACGCCGCAGTCCATGAACACAAATTTCACACTCATGCGTCCCTTACATCTGTTCCCCAGGTTATCATTACAGCACGCCCTCGTGATAGCCTGTGACTCGGAATACCCTTGCAAAAAGAGAGATCGGCTGCCAAGTCGACCAGTCGAGTGAAACGTAGGGGACTCCCAGCGCAATCACTTCGTGATGATTAGCTAATTAGGTTAATGATGTCTATTGTGACATGGGTGCGTGTCAGCCCGTCAACTTTGCCCGGATGAATAGGAAGCCGACGGCCATCTCTTTGTCACGTGAAGATGAACGATGAAGCCTGTCAACGTGTGTGAACATGCCCGAACGGCAACCAGCCTCCCCTGGATTCCACCGAATTCCAGAAACGCCCAGAACGCCCCCCACCCCCCTAAAACCGCCGCGCCCCACTACTGGCCCCAAACTACTCGCCGCAGCACGCCACCCCTCCCACATGTCCGACGCCCGGCACAAATCCCTCACCGCGCTCACCGCCGCGCCGAGAGGCAAGGCAGGCGCGCTGCCCTGCGCCGGCCCGCCGGATCCGCTCCTCCCCGAGTTGATGCTGGCCGCGCTCTCCGCCTCCGCCGCCCACCTCGTGGGTGCCCTGACGGCCCTGCGCCTCCTGGCGGCCATGTCCAAGACGGAGCTGCTGCAACGCCCGCCGCCGGCCGGCCTGCACCGGCCGCATGGCCCCAAGCCGCCCTCGGGTCGCAGGCCCCACCTCGGCGATCGCGACGATCGCTGCAGCCGCCTGGTGCTGGGTCCGAAGGTGCTCAAGCGGGTGGGAAGCCCAAGCAGCCGAGGGGGGAGCAGGAGGCTCGCCGAGAAGAATGCCGTCGGCGCCACCGGTTGCGTCGAGGAGGTTGGGGAGGGCCCCGGGTGCTGCGGCCTGGCCAACGCCGGCAACACTTGTTACCAGAATTCGGTGCTGCAGTGCCTGAATTCGGTGCCCGGCGTGGTGGAGTACCTCAGAGGGGGGCGAGGGGGGTGGAGGGAGGGATCCGAGGTGACCCCGCGGCTGGCTGCACTGGTGGAGGAGATGTGGTCGAGGCCGCCGCGGTCGGTGTGCAGCGCGGAGGGGCTCCGGCGGGCGATGGCTGGCAAGGCGTGGCGGGCCGGGCCCGGCAGCCAAGAGGACGCGCACGAGTTTTTTACTGCCCTGCTGCAGGCAATGCGGGACGAGGGGGCGCGCAACGCGGCGCCGCCCAAGTACCGGGAGATCCCCGACTGCGGCAACCCCGTGGCGCAGGCGGGGGAGGAGTGGGCGTACTCCAAGGAGTGGAACGACTCGCCGATCGACGACCTGTTCGGGTTTCAGAACAGCTCGGCGACCTCGTGCCCGGCCTGCGGCGCTCAGAGCCACAGGTTCGACTACGCCACGGAGCTGCAGCTGGAGATCCCGCGCGGGGTGGGGGATCTGGGGGCCGTGAGCCTGAAGGGTTGTCTGGAGAGGTTCCGGCAGGAGGAGACACTGGAGGGTTACAGCTGCTCGGCATGCGGGAAAGAGGTGGCTGCCAGGAAGGTCGCAGGTGTGCACCGATACCCGGAGGTGCTGGTGGTGACTCTGAAGAGATTCACGTATGAGTGGGACGGGACGTCGTTCAGATCGGGCAAGGTGGCGGCGCCGCTGGAGCTGGAGGGGGAGGAGCTGGACGCGGGGTGCCTGAGGGACGGCCTGTCCGAGGACCGGGGCCCCACGAGGTACCGCCTGCTGGCGGTGTGCAACCACACCGGGGGCCTGGGCTTTGGGCATTACACGGCGGTGGGGAGGAACGTGGTGGATGGCAGGATGAGGCACTTTGACGACAGCTCGGTGGGGCCGGTGGGGAGCCTGGCGGGGAGGTGCGCTGGGGCGTACATGCTGTTCTTTCAGCGGTGCTGATAGGATGGCCGGGAAGGCACGGGGGATTTGATCATGGGGGAGTGCTGGGGGACCGGATTTTTTGACGGCGGCGGGGGGCTGCGTCGGCGGGCTATTGATTGGTGTTCCAGATTAGGAGCAGAAATCTTTGGGGTGAGGGTGAGGGTGCGTGCCTGGGAGAGGTTTGAGAGCAATTTCATGTGGGGTGGGCAGGGGGCCATTGTGCTGAGCACAATGTGGACATAATTAACTTTAAGACGGCCTAAAAGACGATGCTGTGTAGCTGCACGTGTGCCTTGTTGCTCCTTGCCCAATGCCACTTTCTAGATATCAAACGTCCCATCCAGATAAGTTCGTCCAATCTGCTTGGTAGCAACTTGTAGTTGCTGAGGAAGTTGCCACAGCTGGTTGCATACCAAAGGGGATATGATCCTGAAGCATGTGGAGGCAATGTTGGAGATGTCGTGGTTTGCTGCCAGCATGAGAGTATTGAACAGGGTGCAAGTACCAAATGCCATCTCGGAGAGGTGCAGCATTGCTGGCAATGCATGCGCTCGTTCATAGAATTGCAGATGTAAATATCCCAAGTTGGTTTTCCATCCTCGATGATGTGACACTCAGTGATGGCAAAGAAGAAGCCACAAGAACATGGGCCACAGAATTGGCAGGAAAGAACCAATTTATTTTGGAGTGCGTCAATTCCACTTCAACAGGGCTCCCCAGACCATGGATGCGGCACACTGAAGCAACGTTGTATTGTGCCTGCATAGGCATGTCAATGTGTGCACATCGTGCTCTGTGTCCACGAAATGTGCGCATCCATTGAAAAAACTTCATAGTGCTGCATTCATCCTTGCAAATGGTTGTCCCAGCGGCGAAACAACGCGCTGCCAACTGCAGAGCTACAGCAGGGACATCGTTCTCTGCCCATTTGTTGCTGGAATGTGCATGAATGTTCCAAACGGTGTGTAGCTGACCAGTGTTGCTTGTGACGACCTGATGGTGCTTCAGATGTCACTGTTGGGCAGGCACGAAGTTTCATGCTTCAACTGGCCTATTTCCCCCAGCTTCGCGTTACACAATGCAAAACACAGTGCTGCTTTTGTCTAAATCCCCTTATTGCATGCATCTGTGCGGCAAGAGTGAACCCGGGAACCTGCAAGGCGTTGAAGAGTAGGGTGCCACCAGTGCAGTTCCTGGTCCGTGGGCTGCCAACAGACATTGATAACATCGCCACGGAAAGTTCAGAAACTGACGGCAGCCCAGCTCTGCGTCAAGCCAAAGCGCTGGAAACGAAGCGCGCCAGCACGGGATGAATTTGGGCCGGAAACGTCAAGGCGGAAAAACCTCTGGTGCCTGAGTTTCCGGATGTGTGCAAGCGCAGCTGAATCACGCAACAACCATGCACTTGCCATCCGCATTGGGATATCGCAGGTGACCTGCCTCCTTTTTCTCCCCCGTCAAAAACGTTCACCCACGCCAGAAGTATGTGTCTGCTTTGCGTACACTGTTCCCGACACAGACAACGCATAGGGAGGAGGTGACAGGCTAAAAGACGGGTCAGGATTGGGCTTCGGGGTTTTTATGTTTTTGACGCTCCTAGATGCTGAAGATGATCTTAGGGCATTCACACTGTTTTCGATAAGGACCACACATACGGAGACAGTGGTAGCGGAAACGGAGAGGGGTACGGTTGGGCAGTTGGGCGTTAGAGTGGCAGATTTTGGACTGTTTAGGGTAGGAGACGTCCCTGTATCGGTTCCGTATCGGTGGTCCGTATCATCAACATGCCCGCCTTGGGCGGGAACATGAGACCACCGCCGGATGTCCGCTGCACGCCACTGGTTGGCAGCCTGGAGGTTGGGGAAGCATGTTGGCGGGACTGCCCGCCGCCGTGGCCGATGGGTGAAGCGCGGGCGACGCCCGGCGGTTGCTACGCCGCTCGCTCGCGCTGCGCTGACCGCCAGATCCGGTGGTCCGATGGCGCTTGCGGCTGCATCACGAAGTCAAATCCTGCCGATCTGCGGGCGGTGTCGAAGGGCATTGGGGGGTCACATTGACCGAGTGCGCGGCGATTCCCGAGACGAGAGGCCGACGAGAAGGCCGTTTCGCCTGGTAGGCCGCCGCGGCTGCGCAGGGGTAGGGCGTCGCGCGTCAGCTGCAGGCTGTCCTATGTGTTGCATTGGCGTCGCGATTGGGTTGCTGCAGCATCTTGTGGGTGGGTGATTCGTTGTTGTTCAGCAGAGTGTAGGGGTGTTCGACACTGTAAATCGCCAGGTCTCTGTCCCCTGCACACGCCGCGACCCGTGGGTTGATGCCTACATTTTGCCAGCAGAGGCACATGACGAGTGAGCCGACGAGATTGCACGGCCTGTGGTATTTCAGTTTGGAAACGGCAGCAAATGCTACTCTTGTCACCACATGTACTGGGCGGGCATTTCTTGTGGCTTCGACACTGGTGTTTGCCTTATCTTTCCATGAAACTGTACTTATCAGCGGCAGCGCATCGAGTTATTGGCTAAGAATATGCTCTGACATGGGCAGGCCCAATATACATGTGAAAAATTTGGGTGGGCCGAGGCCGCTGTTCCGCACCCAAGAAGTGACAGATTCTCTCTGACAGGTCATCCCCGCGGCACAAGCTCACTGTGCCCCAAGCAGAAACAGAATTTGCGTTCAACATTGGCTGCCTTAAGTGTTTCATGGCCCATCACATGGGCTTTATATCTTGTATTACAGGAATTTGTTGCACCGTATTGACGCAGTTTTTTAGCTACGGCATTTCCATCAGGCCCTTCCATTTTGGTGTGAGCCCACAAAGGCATCTGCGCCCTTAGGGCGATGCACCAGGACCTGCTTGGCGGCATCCAAGCGGACTGCAAGCAGCACATCCAAGAGGAAGCGCACGTCGAAACGAGAACCGACAAAACACACAGAACCTGATCAAGTGTTCGATCAGAAACAGCTGAAGGATGAAGAATTTCATGTGTCAATTGTGGGCATCAATGCCGAATTGGAGGCAGTGATCTGTGGACATGGGAAGGGTCTGGTGGATGGGGAGCCTGGTGCATGCTTTGGCCTCTTCACAAAGCAACGCATACCAGAGTTGGAGCGGGTGGATCTGGATTGTTCACTTGTTGGGGAGGAGCACCGATATGTGACGCTGTCGTCGTTGGTCCAAGGAGATGAAGAAAGGACTTTAACTCTAGACGCAGCAAAATTCTCGCTGCTGCGTTCATACCAAGGGTCCTTCCTGAACCACATCGCAATGCCTGATTTCCCAGAAGAGACCTACTGGAATGACTGCATCGCTGTGCCCATGGTCGCTGGGTCTGGCACCTGCAAGTGGGAAGTGCACTGGGATTTGATCGAGGTCTTGACTCAAGGTGTGGATGGCACAGGCGTGGTAGAGCAACTCCTCAGTCGTCTGTCGTCAGTGACCGCTGGCGATGATGGGGTGGAGGGGTGCGTGGAGGTTGCACAAAAGGTGTGCATGGTGAACGGGAGGAAGTTCAATGATGGGTTTGAGAGCAAGGGAGCGCAGGAGATGGTGGACGAGGCAGTGAAAACTATTGTGGTGGAGGTAGCTGGGGTTGACAAGGTCTTTGAGATCGTGGCGGCGTGCCCCAATCTCAGCCCGCAGTCTCCATTAGACACCCCATACTATGCCTTGGCATCCTTCAACCCCGGGTCACTCAATGAGTACTACAAGGTGGTGGCAGACATTTCGATCCAGAACAAGGAGCAGCCCCTTCTGCTGGCAAGACCCATTAACCTCTGTCCGGAAAATTTGGATCGGGCCCTGTCCAACAGTCATGTTATCAGTGGGTCGTATATCATTCCAGAGTTGTGCCGGCCGCTGCCATTTCCTGCACACTGGCTGAAGAGAAGCCTTGCTCTGCAAGGGATCATGCCTGCTGTCTTCTGTGGTGTGCGCGTGGAGTTGCTGAGACGTCGGTTGGGCATCCCTTCCCACATCCCGTCCTGGGCCCTGACTCAGGCTGTGCAGCAGCCATCGTCACTTTCCAGGGCGGCCATCCCCGACATTACCAAGCGTTTGGAATATGTGGGTGACACGGCGTTAAAGTATGCATATTACCTCCACGAGTTCGTCACTGACCTCGAGAGAGCATGCACAGGGCTCCAGTCGAAGTTCCAGAACATCACGAGACGACAGGACTTTATTGATGCCGCTGTGCGGAACAACTTTCTGGACCTTCTTATGGTGAAGCAAAAGGACAGCAGGCAACTCTCCACAGAGAATGCTTGGCAAATCTCAAGTGCTGATGCCCCTTCATTCCTCAGGAAATCTGACTCGAACGGCGTTGGCAATGGTGCTGAGGAGTTGGATGAATCAGCCAGATCAGATGAATTGGAAAGTCATTCCTCAACTGCTGAAGATTCACTGGCACCCTTGGAGGGAAATGTGCAAGATGGCCTCAAGATGACAGAGCATGATTTGCGGGCTGTGGTGCGATATATCAGAGCCATTCTTGGGATCTGTTACAACTACAGTGGAACATCACTGGTCATGGCGATGTGCAAAAAGTTGTGGATGTGGAAGTTCCAGGACGAGGTGTTGGGGTACATCCAGAGCGATGGCGATGTGAACTCAAAGAATCCCCGATATCACTGGGAGCCAGAATCCATGCCTGGTCCACGAGGGGGACGGTCTACGAAACTACACCAACTGAGCGACGCGATTGGCTACCAATTCAAAAGGCCCTGGCGACTAAAAACTGCTCTAACTCATCCATCCTGTACTCACAGCTATGTTGCTCGGGCTGAGAAGTTCACCCTGAACTACAAGGCATTCGAGATCCTGGGCGCAGTCGCTCTGGACCTGATCCTTGCAGAGCATTTGTTCATAACTGCCCCGGAGCTGTCCCAGGCCGAGGTGAACAAGATCCTGAACCCCAAGCTGAAGAACGAGATCTTTGGGCGCTGCGCGGCCATGGCCCAGCTCGACATGCTCATGATGCACAGGGTGGAGTTCCTAAATCAGGAGATGCATGCCTCGCGGAGAGAGCTTCGGAGCTTCGAAAAGCAGAATGGACACACAATGCTGGGCTTTGAGGTGCGAAAGGTTTGGACCGAGCTGTTTCGCAGCCTTGCTGGGGCTGTCCTCGTGGACTCAGGGTTCTCCCTGGAGGAGGTGCGGAGAGTTGTGCTGCCGCCACTGAACCGCTTCCTGCCATCCCTTATCTCAAAGGATGCAATTCCCGAGGAGGAGACGAACCACTTCTACAGGTTCATTCCCACAGCCATCGAAGCTGGGGCCTTTGAAGACCCCTCATGCCCATTGCAGCGGCACGAGTTCTATGCCACGGCCATGACCATGACCCCTGCTGTGAATGCTGAGGCTCCCGGTCCAGAGGCATCAACAGCGCAGACCGCACCTCAGGGTGGCAAGCTGCCAACGTGCTTTGTCATCCTCACAAAGCGAGCCATCCCCAACCTTGCCCAAGCGGAGCTGTTTGTGCCAGACTCCTCAAGGCGCATGATCGTTGCATTCGAACCAGCAGTGGTGGGTACAGTTGTGCTGACAGACAGCCAGGCTGACATGGCTGAGCGGTTTCAGTCGAAATTCTTCAAGTCGATGTTTATCCCTGAGACATACAAGGCCCATCGGGTGAGGCCATTTGAGAAGAGGTATCTCCTGCTGCCTGCTGTGGTTGCCAAGGGCTGGCCTGGGGAGGCCGGTGGTGAAGGCACAGGCTGGCTTCTTGCCTGGGACCTCATTCAGCGCGTGATGAAGGATGAGGTCCCAGATTCCTGGAACCTCTTCTTGGAGGCCTTGTGCAATGTGAATGTGGATGTGGGGGCTTTGAAGGTGCTTGCCAGGTCAGTGTTGGAGTCTTGGGGAGGGTGTGAGCTATGGGCTGAAGAAGTCGTGCATTGGGATGGGGTTGAGGACGTTGAACAGAGTGGCTGTGAGGCCTTGAATGATCCTGAAGTCTGCAGGGCATTCAGAGGCTTGGTGATGCAGAATGGGAAAAGGCTGATTCAGGGCAGGAACCTTGAGGTAAAAGGGCACACAGTGGAGGTGAGCCCTGCGGTGGCCGGCACAGCAACAGTCTCACTGCATACAATGGAACCCGCAGGGTCGATGGACATGGTGCCTGGGGAGCGCTACATGGAGTTAACGGGAAGCAGCATGAACAGAATGGCAGTCAACCTCCTGAGACCTGTGTCCCTTTTGGCCGAAAAAGCGTCTACCCTGCCCTTGCGCAACTGCCGGCTGAAACCCTACACCAAAGGCTGGCTGGACCTTGGCCAGTTCTTGCCCTCCGCCCTGCACCGCTTTGAGGGCATGCTCCTTGCGGAGGACTTCAGGACACAATTCGACATCTCACCCAAGGTGGCCTTTGAGCTCCTGTTGTTGAAAGTGGTTGTTTGGATCTCGTTAGCATGAAAAAAGCCAGTTGCTGCCATGCAGTTGCCAGTTGTTATCTTTGATTTCTTGTACAGTCCATCACAGTTGAACATTGTTTCAATTACAGCTAAACATGGTTGTGACAGTCAATTACAACAGAAGGTGTGGGCAAATTGGCTAATTGAACTGCTCATCATGCCCAAGGTGCCCACCACAGCCCTCATGGGGGCGCTCACCTCGAAACACGCCTGCGAGCCCTTTGACTACGATCGGCTGGAATACCTTGGAGCCTCAGTCCTGAAGTATATGGCCAGCCATATGCTGTTCAAAAAGGGGATCAGCGTGGGCGAGATGAGCACGATCCGCTTCGACATCATCACCAGGGGGGCAGTGCTGGCGGATGAGTGCATTCATGACGTGGCAGGCCACATCATGAACGCCAAGTTCCTGCCAGCCACGAAACGTCCCCTGTGGCACCCTCCGGGCGTGGAACCGTACATCTTGCTTGGCCCAGGGGCGAACGAGCCGACCGCCTCTTCCAGCGGGGAGGACATGCCTGTGGGAAGCGCCTGGCGTCGGTCGTCACGGCAGGTGTGAAGTCACAGCTGCGCGAATCTTGTGGCGAAGTTCCTCTTTTGTTAGCATTTCCCACCGTGCTCTGCGCTGTTAATGCCATTGCGCCTTGCGCAACATGGCACGATTATCTGCGCCGCAGTTTCCTGTTACTACATTGTTGTTTTTTTCTCATCACCGTTTTCTACGACGTGAAATCTCCACATGTGCCCGGGGCATCGTTGCCTCTTCTTTGTTGCTGTGCCACCTTTGTTTTTGCTGCAGGCTGGCTCATCAGCATTGGCTGGGGCCTGCTTCTCGGTCCTGATCAACCCAGGACAGCTGTTTTGTGCTTTTGCTCCTTTTTTTCACCGGAGAAAGCGGATTGAACTATGTGCCGTCCTGCTACGGCGTCTCCTGCATGGCGTGCAAGCCGCATTGTGGTTTTTCAGCATTGTCGCTGCATTCAATATTGGACCATGTCAGCTCATACATCTACTCGGTTGCAACATGAAAGATGGGTCCCTTGTTTCAAAAACGCTCCGTAGCAAAGATGAAGAAATCACGATTGCCTTGGGATTGTGCAGCTTGTTTCTGGCCAACAAGAGGTCAATGTGGGGTCGGCCAATGCTGTGGCCAAGGCAGTCGCAGCGGCCTGTTTCGACTATGACTCTATTGAGGCCGCTGGAAGCTTTTTTGCTGCTGCCCGCGTCTTTCCAGTCCAGGTATGTACCCATCAATAAAGAACGCTACATGCTGACGTGTTTAATGTACAGTACAGAATCCGTACTAACGTCGGCGGAATAGCAGTAGAACATGTACATGTACTACATTACTACAGTGCTACATGTACATGTACACAGCCAAACACTATTGAACAGCCGGTTAGTTGATTTGTTTTGCTCCATCCATTAGTCTGTTGGGCAGCTGAGCGGCCTTACAGTCCAGGTTGCAGCCACCAAAGTCATGCCTGTAACCACCGAATCTGTTTGAGCCCTCTGACGCACAGCATGTCCTTGTTGTTCAGAACAGTTTGCCAAAAAATTGTGTCAGAATCGGCAGCTCTGTACTGGCACCACGCTTTTCTCGCATTTTTTTCCACCCCAGCAAGTGCAACGCCTACCCATGCTCACCAGCCACTGGCGTCGATGTTGTGGCTCAGTATTTCATGAGCAACACTTGAGGGCACGACTTTCCCCATGGTTGCTTGACCAAGAGCGATCCTGCGATTCCTCTGCTTTCAGAAGTTCCCCAATGTGTTGTTGGTCGCCCATTGCTGCTTGATCCTGGCATGCAAATCCATGTCTCTTGCTGTGGTGGCGGGCTGAATTCACGACTTCTGTTCTGGGGTTAAACCTACGCACTCAAGCAGAAAATGCTCCAAGGAAGGCAAAAAGGCCGCGGATAGGACGTTTCATTGCACTGCCACACAGCGAATGAATTAGATTGATGAGATATAGATGGAAAATGAATGACGAAGGTACGCACAGCGGTGCGATGTTGCAAGTCGTTCCCGCAAAGTTGTCTGGCAGCAATGTAGAGTTGTCTCTTGGTGTCCCACCCGCCGACTCTGCTGACGTACTCTCGTAATGCAGAATCCGCTTTCAGATGCAATCCATTCCTATCACACGGCACAAAGTCGGAGGAAAATCATGGACGTGGCCTCGATTGGACGTAATTCACGAATCTTGACATGGCACACGGCGTGCGGTCCTCATGACAACGTACCACACCGCTGTAGTAAGACCTCCCGACCTGGTCTTTACGGTACAGAAATGTGACGCAATCCCTTGCATTTGTTCGTTTGCTTGCCACCACCCGGGCGCCTGATGATGCATGTGTGCTGGCCTGCATCCCTGTCAAGATGGTTCAATGACATCCATGCCCATGACTGCGTCACATCGCGTGCACGTGCGGACACGATGATGCATGTGTGCGTGGACCGCCCGTGTTGCGCGTGTCGCTCTCTGGGAAACGTTTGCTCATCGGTTCGCTCGGCCGCCCAGGACTGGAGCGCCCCCGTCCCAGAGGGCCGGCGCTTCGAGCAGCCCAAGTACGAAGCCCTGGAGGGCGTCCTGGGCTACCGCTTCAACGACATGCAGACCCTGGGCCTGGCCTTCACGCACAGCTCCATGCACATGGGCGCGGACTACGAGGGCCTTGAGTTCCTGGGGGACGCGGCGCTCGAGCTCATCGTCACCCAGCACCTGCTCAAAGAGCACCCCAGCCTGAGCCTGGGCGACATCCAGGTGTGTGTCAAGATGTTACAGCCGTGCACTAAGTACGTTCAGGTCTGGGAGCAGTGAGGCTATATCGTGCAGAGCAGCCCGAGCGCTGTTTGTCCGGAAACCCAGCAGGCCACGTCCAGCAGCGTGGAGGGCATGAGTTCCTTGTGTCCAGGCCGGTGTGCGAATCATTTGTAATAACATTTGTCAGAAGACAAAGGAAGCCCTTGCACCGTAAGCTGGCGAAGTCGTGCAATGATCTCACGCGCGAGTTTTGTTCGAAACCACGGTGTTTGTTCGCGACGCCCAGGTGATTCGAAACCGGCTGCTGTCCAACGAGTCCTGGGCGCGGCTGGCGCTCACGCCACCGCTGCAGCTGCACCGCCTGCTGATCCACAACGCCGGCGGGTTGAGCGGGGAGCTTGAGGCCACGGCGCGGCGGTTGGAGGCCGCGGCCGGCGTACCGCCGGGCCTGCTGGAGTTCTCACCGCAGAAGGTGTGCTCGGACATGTTCGAGAGCCTGGCAGGCGCGGTGCTGGTGGACTCCGGGTTCTCCGTGGAGGCCATGCGGCGGGTGTTCCTGCCGCTGATGCGGGGCCTGCTGGCGGCCGCGGTGGGCGGGAAGGGGGAGTGACTCCGGCGCCATTTTTGCGAGGGTTTGCTTGTGTGAAAATTCATTATTGTTTTAATCCATGGTGAGATTTTGGGCACGCAGACTCCGTGCATACTCGCAGTCTCCCTGCTTCGTTGTGGAGAAGATGGCACATAATGGTACTGCAAGCGGCATTTGTTGCCGTTTTCTGATAATTGCTGTTTTATATTTATCAATTTCAGGCGGTTTCCAGTACCAGAATCACTTGGGGGGATGCTGTGGGCTGTGTCATGTTTTCGAGAAAGTCGACGCTGTGCTCAGAAACCCTCATGGCACCCCTCCTCATGTTCATGCTGGCATTACTAAAAGTGCGACGGACCATTTCGCGCAGAACAGGGAGTGCCCACACTCCACCAGGTATTCAGTGTTTTGCAGTGCAATATGTTCCAGCAGAGGGCGCTGCAGCAAGCGGCCAAGCGCCAAGGGAAAGTGAAACATGAGGAGTCTCTCTACAGATAGAGGATCGTCGCATCGTTACAGCATCAATGAAAAGGGGCCATCATTCCTGCAGAAGAATGCCCTCCAATAGGGCGTGTCTGCCGATTCCATATGCGTAATGTTATTGACCAATTCGGCTTCTTGGCGGTAGCAGATGCATAAGTATCGAAGAGTCCAAAAGTGCAGAATTGGTAGCCTCAGAAAACCACAGTGCTCTGCGCCCACCGCCGGCAGTCCTAATCTGGGTCATCCTGTTTGGGTGTGATTGGTGTGTCACCGCCTGCAGGACAATTGAGAAGGTTCGCGTCGGTATCAAACTGCGTGAAACACTTCTTGAAAATTGAATTTTTGGGCAGTAATCTGGGCGCCAGCCATCATAAATGTCGATACATATGGCGATACATATGGGATATATATGGGATATGGCGAGGATATGGGGTAGGGTATGCAACTTCTTTCCAACGGGGGCCAAACGCCATGGATGACAATGACGCCATTAATCGAACGCACGTCCCAAACCTTTTCATGGCATGTGACCCACGCGTGGCGCGCACCGTAAGGCAGGAAGAACTTGTTGCCCGTGGCAACAAACCAACATGGCTACAGGTCATTTTCTCCACCGAGACTGTCGCCAGGAGCTACAGGGGCTGCCCGTACGCCTCCAAGGGTCGACTGCCCTGCCGTTGCATCGGGAGCGTCGCTTGCAGCTAGGTCGTGCAAGGATAATAATGCAGGGCCGAAAACAGTGCTGGCGGCCCTCATCCAGCCGAGTCACGCATGCATCAGTCTGCCAAATATCAAATTGACAGTCCTGGCTTCGCGGGGTTCACATGACGACCAATAAATGCAGCAAATGAGGGGGTGAAGCGGCGAAACGCCCGCTCGTGAGGCTGGCTGGCTTGCATAAATTGGCGGCCGGATGGCCAGCTACTCGCACACCAACCTGGCACACAGCCCCTCACTGAGCCGGACTGTGTGGGTGGACGACTGTGCACACAGCCTTCTCGGCGGCTCCCGCGCGCCGTGCGCATAGTCTGCGGACGATGGGCGACCCTCCCCCCCCATGTCCCGGGACGCCGCAGCTCGTTGTGCGGCGAACAGGAGGCACTGGCCCAAGGGAACGGAGCCCCTCCCCTCAAGCGACACTCGGAGGGTCGGCAGGCGAGGTGAGCCACACGGACGGAAACGGACGGAAACGGACGGAATGGGCCTCCAGTTCTGCGTTTTTGTGGACCGTTGGTTGGGCACTCTTTCGGTTGGAGCGACGCGGCGAGGGAGGGAGGGGTCAACTTGAGCGGCGACGTGTCTGGAAATGCGCCTCGGTACCCGTGGGGCGGCCAAACGGGGCGCAGGGCCCCGTGGCCCTCCAAGCGGAATAGCGCGGACCCTGTACAATTATTTTCCCCGGCGGTCGTTGGACAGAGAGCACGCGGCGAGGCTGGCGTTTGTGTTTCCAAAATTTGCCGTTTCGGGTGGGGGCCTTTGCAACCGACGGTGGCACTTCCTCCCTTCAGAAACGCCGCTCTCTTGGCCGCACTTCTTTCTGACCATGTGCTTTTTTTCCGGGCTGCTCGAGTCACGCTGCTGTGCGTGCATCCTATTTTGGGAGCTGCGTGTCGCCAGGGCGGGTGGCGCTCACGAAACGGCTCGAGGGCGTATTGGACGGTGGGCGGGTAGAATGCTCTGCTTGGTGACTAATTCTCCCCCAGCGCAAGTAGCTGTGGTCCAGGACAAAATTTTGGTTGGGGCGGCGCTGGCAGGGAGCGCGATGCGGCGCAGGGCTGGGGCTCACCCCCCGCCGGCCAGCCGTCGCTGGAATTGCTTCCGAACCTCGGGATCCGTCAAGCCGTCGGCCGCTTCAACTGGCTTGACGTCTTTTGGGACGCCTGCCGACCGGGCGGCCTCGCCGTGCAAAATTTCCGCTGCCGTTGCTGGGGTTCGTTTGGCGCCATACCGGCCCGTGGGTCTGGGAGGCCCGCGCCAGCGGCGGGCCCCACATACCAAGATATCAATCAATGGAGCGAATAAATCATGGTTTGGCGCAATGCTGCCATATTCCAAGGAACCTGAACAAAATGTTCCACACCTCCAGCGGAGGGCGCCGCAGCGGTTTGCCTGTGCCGCCCAAATGCCAAGAGGCATACACGAATGGATGAGATGGAAGCCAGCGCCTCTGATAGCGAAAGATCTACGACCCAGCGTCTTTCAGAAAAGGATCCGCAACTATTGATATGTGGCATCGCCGAAATTCCCATTGCCCTGGGCCTGGAATTGCTCAAGTGAATGGCATGGGTTGACAGCAATGGGCGCCAAGCTAGGGTGAATACAGTTCAAATTGACCAGCCAGGCAGTCTTTGTGCTGACGCTTGCATCCACCTCTAATGCCAACAACACTTCCACGTACCTGTAACCCTAACGACCTGTATCTCATCGCCCATCAAACTATCCACCCTGGCTTGCCTGAGCGGCCGCCGCTTTTCCAGGTGCAGCGGCTTCAAACCGCCGCCGGAGTCTGTGCACCAGGAGCGCTATTGCAGATGATGTACAAACAGTGTGCATGTACATCAAGAGGTACTGCACACATCGCGGGCAGATGGTCGATGAATGCCCAGCGACAATGCTCGGATACCACAGAGTGGCATTGCATGTTTGCTTAGTGCAAGTACGTTGCACGATTCATGTGGCCATCGTTAGGACATCTGTGGTTTGGGAATTTGACCGCGGTCGCAGAGCTTGCCAATTTTATTGTCTTGGAGAGGGCTGCTCCGGGAAGAAGATGGAACATCTGTAGGTGACCGCTCCGTAGCGGTCAACCAAGCGAAGCATTTCCAGAACAAATCACCCACGTGCAGAGTAACCAAATGGAAAAAACAGAACACAACCGTAGTGTACATGTCTTCCCTGTTCCCCTGAATGCAACATTCGTTCCTGCACAGCTTCCATGAGATGTCCCATGAGATGAGCTGTACGGCTGCGAACCAAAACACGCCTGGGAAGAAGTGTTCAACAATCGCGATGAAAAGGTTGCCAAGATGCATCAGCAAACATCACTTGGTTGTCTGACATGTGTCAGAAATTTTTACTGGGACCCCAAGGCCCAGTGGCAACAGAAATTACCCAACAAGAAAGTGCCCAAGAAACTACCCCAACAACACAAGACCCCCCCCCCCCCCCCCCCCCCCCCCCCCCCAAAAACATCCACGCCTGTGTCACCAGTTCTGAAATGTTCCAGTGGACAGTCACTGAAAATATGTTCTCGACCTTCCCTGCCAACGTCCTGGCTGGCTAGCTCCTGGCATTGCCATCAAGGAACAGATAGGGCATCTCTTCTTTCGCGATGCATGCCAGCCTGGCAAACATCGCGGCACAAGCGATGCCTTATCTGTTCCTCGGTGCTTGAAGAAACTTACCCTCCTCACACCTCTCTCCTCTACCAGCCCTGCCCCTGCCCAGCCCACGAGTGTGTTGCAGAACAGATAGGGTGATGACAGTCTTGTGGTGTGTGTGTCCGAAAGCAGACACCTCAAGCTTCGCCTGCCAATCCACCTCCCTCTTCCCCAAATTGGTCCCCAATTCCAATGGGCCCACTGGATAGCGACGGCGAGAGTCAGCCTGCGAATCCACCTGTCTCATCCCCAAGATGCTCCCCTATTCCGATGGGGCCCCTTGACAGCGACGACGACTATGGCAACTCCAGGTCTTCGACGCCTTTGGAGTGGGTGCCCAGTCAGCTGGGCCATCTGGTCAGCTCCACAGTCACTGGGGACACCAGGGCATCGATGCCACTGGCGTGGTCGCCCATTCCCATGGGCCAACTCGACGACAATGGAGTTGCTGACAGCTCCGCCTATTCCACCCCTTCTGCATGGACGCCCATTCGGCTGGGGTCTTTGGACAGCATGCAGGGCTGTGGCAGCAGCGCACCCGCTGACCCTGCGGGATGAGCAACAGTCGAGATCTGTCAGTGGTGCGGTGGTGAGCATCCCTCCAGGATGATCCAGAACTTGTTGTTGCCTGTTTGGCAAGCGAGAACATGAATAGAGTGCAGCTGAAACAAGTCGAGTTGCAGACAATCATACCATGCAATCAACTTTGAGTTGTTTATCCAACAGGCGCGGGGTAAGCGAGCTGCTACACCTGCTCATGATAAGAGGCCGGTCAAGATCAACAAAATGTGGCATGCATGGGCCGATTTTGCGATGGAGGTGGACACCAGTACAGAGATGCAAATGCCTGATGGCAGCAACGGTGGGTCTGGAGCTGTTACACTGTTTCCTGCTTTTACAAATGCATCCCTTCAGGGTACAGCACAGTCAGGGGAGCTGTCATTTCGTGTGTACTGGTAATCAGAACGTGGGCATCCCCTGGCCAGATCGATCGAGGCAGCTGATGCTGCTCCCCAGAAAGGGTCCTCCTCTTCATCAACTGCCGGTGCTCCATGTGGCCATTGCAGCCTGCACAGCAAACCAACCAGTGTGAAGGATGGTCAGCAAACAAGCAAGAAAGCAAGCAGTGCAACATGGTGTGCAGTGAGGGATGCCAGTAGCTGGGCATAGTCTGTAATCACAACGTCAATAAGACAAAACCCTGTGCTCCTCACACACAGTGGCTCCCAGACACAGTAAGCAAAGCTGTAAGTAGATGAATTACAGGATGAACGTATCAGTGCAATAGAACTCGCTACAAGTGTATCTCACTTCATATTCTTCATATGTCCATATCCATTTCATCGCACTAAACAGCATGTTCGCCACATTAACCCACCGAATTTCACATCACATCTTCCATAACCACTCACTTAGCTATCTCACCATCACATACACAATATTGCTTGTGGTGGCGGCACTGGATTGTTATCTGGAAAATAAGGGGCACTCCATTGTCTCTTTTGGCAGGTACCCAAGTGCCGCACTGGTGTCCACCAAACACCTGCTACTGTGATGCCTATCACGGGGCCAAGGCCAAGGAAAACCGTTGGTGGAAACCCCGCCGTCTCCATCGCAGGAGAATTCGCGTGCTGCCAAGGAGGGACATGGCAATGGAGGAAATCGTGAACTGTCATGCCAAACTCCCCACCACCTCCCAGGGCAACGCCCTGCGGCCCGATGTCATATCGGTGGCAGGTGCATTCTTGGATGCGTACCTGCAGCTGATGCGGCCTGCAGAGGAAGAAATCGCATCTGTGGCATGGGGGTCCTACTGGATTGCTGCCAGGGGCGGCAGACAGTGGAATGGCGATCCCAGCCTGGAGGAAATCAACTGTGTCGCTGGAGGTCTGGGGGTGGGCAGCCTCCCCGACATTGAGCAGCAGATCTTCCTCAAACTCCGAGAGACGGTGGGCAGCAGGGGATACACCACGCACCACCCGACCCCGCACGACTTTGTCCACATCTTCATGGCGGCAGTGGGCATTGCGGAGGACAGTGAGGAGGGGAAGCTTGCAATGGCCATCGTTCAGGCATCTTGGCAATGCAACACCAGTTTTCCCCCCTCAAAAATTGCGGCTGCTGCTGTGGACATGGCAAGGGCCGCAGAGTCAAGGAAGCCATACGCACCTGATCTTGAAGGGATGTCTGAGTACTCCCGGTGGCAGCTGCGCAGCTGCAAGGCCACACTGGCCAAGATCTACTACAGTTGAGGCCGGGAGACACATGGGCACTGTGGCAAGAGGGGCCACTAGCAGAGCTGGAGGAGGGCTGGCCACTGCACACAAAAGGGACTGTCCATGAGCAGTCCTGCTGTGGTGGTAGGGGGTTACGTCTGCAGTGGGCACACCTCTTGCTCTTTTCCATCTTCAATTCTCGGAGTGGGGAACAACGCATTCACACTAGGGAGAGCTGCATGGGCATGCTGCTGACGCAGGAGCAATGCATGCAACAGGGCTTCACAATCAGCATCCTGCTGTGCACGTTTCTGGGCCCATGGGCAGCATGCATTTCTCCTGCACACATTCTGTCTTTAGTCTGGGAACGGGCAAAACCGCACTCCACCATGGGCAGGGCAGTTGAGGGATGCTGCCAATGCATAGGAGGACGGCTGGCCACTGCAAGATCCATGGACTGCACCAACAAGTCAATGCCATGAAAGTCTGGCGGATACCCAGTGGCGCCAGCTTTCCTGTGGGTTTTAGGTACCAATCTGCACTTGAAACAAAACAATGAATCATTGAGAGGCAGCAAGGGGATGCTGCAAACATGGAGGAGAGCTGGCCACTGCAAGGTATAGGGACTGCGCAAGCAAGGTGCTGCCATGGCGGCCTGGGAACGCCCAGTGCAAGGCCAACATCCTGTGACGCTCGATTTCGATCAAGAAATTGCACCAAAACAACTCAACAACGGTGACGTAGGAGGCAGATGATGTGTGCGTGGGAGGATGACCAGCTATTGAAAATTGTATATAGACTGCACTGGCAAGTTGCTATCCTGACAGCCCAAGCGACACACGGTGGAAGGCCACCCTACTGTGAATTTCGATTCTGAAACTGGAATTGCACCAAGAACATTGCCACGATGGCGAGGCAGATGGCAGATGAGGCTTATCCAAGAGAGGAGCTGACCACTGCAAGGTATAGCGACAGCATAGGCAAGTTGCCATCATGGCTGTCCGGGGGACAACACATGGCAGGCATGCCCCCTG